GCATTTGCCACAACACAACCATCATTATGAACTGGCTCCCTCACAATCATTAACAACTTAATTTCAATCACTGAGTTGACTTCAATCCATCAGCAGGTACGCTGGAAGCCCACTGTACTCTGCTCATGGATTCACTCTCAAGATGGAGAATCATGCCCATAACGTATTTGGCTAAGTGCCTTGTCAGTCAGAAATCAGCAACACAGCTTGAACCCAAACCTGGGAGCCTATGATTAACACGAACAGGCTCATCCCCAGGGCTTCATCAGGAACAGACTTATTAGATATAGGCCCTGGTGTGTCATCCCCCTAAACCATAAGCCACCGCTTCGGTAATTCAAGACAACTCCACGGGGTTATCTTGACCACTTTTGGTGAGGTGTGATTCTCGGAAAATGGGACTGCATCACATGTAACTATATAAATCAAGATCAAAAATAAAAATGAGTAACACTATCTTGCCTTCCACCGAAACACACAACTTCACAAAACATTTTTGTTAATTATCTAAACCATTCCTGAAAGCCTTTAAAAACTCCTAAGAACAGAAAATCTGCTACATAAACCTGTTTTTTTTTTAGTTCTACTTTTTAACTGACAACTGACTGTTGTATGAATAAGAAGGCCTTTCTGACATCAAAGGGACAATTCGGTTTTTTTTTGTCAGGAAAGGCAGAATCGTGTTGTAGGGACAAAAATTTGCCCCCATCATGTTTTGGGTCCCTATCAGATGTTGCCAACAAGTACATGTACATGTGTGCTCATGCAACAACCCAACAAAGATAAACAGTTATCACCAACATACAACACAAAAAAACAGAAAACAAAAACAAAACGACACAACAGAACAGCAGATCCTACAAACACTCACAGTAAATAAAGTTAAAAGGAATGAAACAGAAAGAAAAAGGTGAGGGAAAGCCTACAAGCGTGAAGGTCAAAACAAAACAAATTATAAATCCAGATATGATGTATTTCATGTCATCTGTATTGACTACTACTGAACAAACCTACTGGCAAACAAGTTGTCTGTACATACATCCAAAAGGAGTACATGTACATGTATATCTACTAGTATGTGCAGGTGACAGGTGGGCGATTAGACAGGTACTCATTCTCACGTTAAACTTGATATGACAGATCAAACCTAAAGTGGGTTATAGTGCACTTGAACCTAGCAAGGCAGTGAAGCATGACCCAGCAGACAAACAGATGAAAGACAAATTGGTTTTGGACACTGCCATTGGTGATGCATTATTTGTGCGGGTGCGGTCCACTGTTTCCATGCATCAGCACAGTCTAGTCTTGAGATCTTTTTCATATGACCTTTTTTTTGGGGGGGGGGAGGGACAAGCATAGTGAATGTAGACATGCTTGAGATGCTTCAGACCATGCCAAAATAGAATTTTTGGTTGAGTATTTTTGGTTACTTTTACACTGACAAATTATTTGAGGAGAATTTTTCAACAAAAGGCCCAGAAAGAGATCAACAATATTTGTAAGAGCCAATGCCACGAATATTTCTTTGTTACAAGTGTAGTGAGTCGTTCAATTCTTTATTGTAGTAAAAACTATGGTATTTGACCTTTCTATTTGGTTTACTACATTGAAAAGTGCACCTCTTGAATACTTTCAGTTTTGCATGCTTTTCTTGACAACTCAGGTGTTGTTGCTCCCATGACCTTCAGGGAACTACAGTTTCACTTTAGGGATTTCCTCTTAAGATTGCGAACCCAAACTTCGTTCCTTGGAAATATTTGTGAGAAAGGGTTGCTCATGGGAACAGCTTTCCTCCATGCCCTACACAAGAATGAATCAATAAGGAGACAAAATGTCACTGCAGCAAAACATCCCAAACTGTTGCAACGTTCTAAGCTCATATACCTCCAACCATGGGATTTCTGCCCAGATTGACTTCACCGTGCTGCTCATTAATATGAATATTTGCATTAGCCTAAATTTTAAAGGCAAAAAAGCCACCAAAATATCATTCAAAATGGCCAAATGAAAGTTGAAAATAAGGATATATACGACAAAAAAAGGTCAATTTTCCAGAACTGACAATGCACCCTTGTTCCCCTTAACAAGACTGATATGTGTAATCAATTTAAATTCTGGTAAACTTGAGGTGAACAACTGAAAAAAAAAAAAATCATATCTCAATATCTTCGGATGGATACACCGGTAAGAGGTCCTTGAATATACTCTACTCAGATAAAAGCATCAGGATCAAGAATTGCCTACTATGAAGGCCCCCTTGGCAAAATGGATAACAAAGAACATGCCTCCTCTTCTAAAGACCGAATGGTTCACAAGGTAGTTCTCTATTGTTCTCAATCCCCGTTTCCAACTCACAGCTATACATTGTGTAACCATCCCTGTTCACTTCAAAGAATATATATCCTTTCACTACAGGCACTATGACATGACGTGTGCACACCTACACCTCTACATGTACACCCCCCTAAGTCTTCAGGCTAGAAAGGATGATTGGGATACAAAACACGCACTTGTGGTTTTTTAGAGGGCATCTTCGATTCCTGCAAGGCTTCATTCAGTGTAAAACCACACACCCTTCCTGGTTTGAAAGCCCAAGGTATGAGGAAAAATGTAAGACTAAATTTCTTTTAGTACATGTCTTCCTTGGTGAATTTACTGTTGTTTGTCATGGCCACATTATTTGTACATGTACATGTACATGCCAAGCTGCATGTAATTTTCCTGCATCAGCTCAAGCCCTTGTTGAAGTCTCTCTAGAGGATTTAGAAACTTCCCTTCTTCATTTACTAGCTCACGAACTAAATCCTGTTGTCCCCCATCAGCATTAGCTGGCAACAGATCTATGCACACAAAAAGGGCCCTCATTGGAGCATTGACCTCCAATGTCAAAAATTGACAGGACTTGACAAGCTCCAAATAGTTGTGAAAATATCTTGCAGGGGGAAAAAATTCACCCTCCTAAGCCAGGGAAAAAAAATCTGCGCCTGCCTGTGTGAGCGGGCAAAGGCTTGGAGCATTACATAGAAACTAGCCCTTGTAGGGGTAAGGTAATTTGTTTCAAGCTTGTTTTCACTGGTTGAACTGTGGCACCTGATTAGGGAGTTTGTCAAGGAAGTGTTATTCCACTACAGAGTATATGCAAGTATACACCTGTACACAGTTGCATGCACAAGTAGAGAAATTTAGCAATAACAGAGACGTCCAGATTACTAGATGCATTACCTGCACAATGCTGCAAGGCTTAGCCACAATGGACAAAAATTCCACCAAAAAAAAAGAATGGCCCAATGCAAATTATTCTACTTATACTTGCTGCAATACTGTCAGACTGTGCTCTACTTCCAAGCCATCAATATCACTACCTTGGCTGATACAAGAAACACAGTGTGGAGTAACTACCTTTGATGGGCCATAAAATTGAGTCCCAATGGGCTTGAAGACCTTGGGTCAAAGAGCCACTGGACAAATTACAATGTACTGGGTAACTTTTAGCACACTTTGGGCAGCCAGTTCAATGAGCAATCTAACAATGCCTATGGTGCATGTGCTCATGAAAAGCTACATGTACACTGTACGATCATTTTGGTGATGCAACAGGTTTTTGATCAATGCGACTGCAGGGCGAAAGAAATTAAAAAAAATATGTCTTCATCTTGGATCAAATCATCACGCTTTCACGAGAACGATATTGGTGTCACTTTTAACTCCTAAATGTGGCCAAAAAGAAGGTTTCCTAATAAATGTATGCCTAAAATGCACTTTGGAAGCAAACAATAATATTAGCAACTGCATGTTTTGACATATACATTTAGCAAGCCAACTCCTGATCTTTAGTTATAATACATGTAAGAGAACAAATATGTGCTTGGCTGGTCTTAAACCCCCATTCATAAATACCTGTTTCGTCAGAGTCAAAAGAAGTCAATATATGATAGATTTCCAATGCTTTTGATCTTGAATTTTACTTTCATTTTCCTGAACACCCCTGTCTATTTTACGGTATATTCTTTGTACAAATTGTCCAGAAGAATCTCCACATATGGACTTGACGGGCGCATGGCGTGTTTGGGTGCTGTGTCACACACAGACTCTTGACCAATAGGGATAGAGTCAACTGCCTTGTATCCAGGTGCGAGAGAGTTTTTTAACGCAGCGGGCATTATCACATCTCAGCGGGCATTATCAAATGTTAATACACTGTCAAGTTGCACGTTGTTGAACAGGGAGACTGTCTGAGGTATTTATGAATTAACAATAAAATCCCTAACTTAACACGATTTTAAGAAAAACTAAATGATACATCTGCATCTGACAAATGAAAGCACATGTAACTTTTTGCTCATGCCAACGAAGATCTTTAGGCCACTCCACAGTCCACACACTCCGATAAAACACAGGGTGACAAGAAATACGTGTACCACTCACACAACACGTAATACCATGCCTCTCTGGCCCCAAGCAGGACTGAATTACTCTTTGAGAAGTGCACCAGATCCATGCAGAAGCCGTATTGGATTCTTGCCAGTGTGAAAGGAGTTTAACCAAAATCTCTGGGGGTTAGATCTAGGTATGTTTTTGGATCATGTGGAAGGGCTTCTGGGCCCATTTACATAGAGAAGCAATAACCGAATGTGGAGACAGAAGATGGTACAGGCTATGTTTCACATTTATGCATGAGGTGGAAACATAAGCCAGCCAATTACTGACTCTCCACAATAATCCTATGGGGAGAATTGAAGGCACGACTAGGAGGTGTTCAACCATGTCAGCCAAGTCCATGAGGTCACACCTAGCAAGACTGCTGAGTAGCAAGAATGTAGATCTCAGTGTAACATCATTGAAAACTCTCACTGGTCTCTATTAAAATACAGCGGTTCACAACCCTTATCGCACAGTCTGTCCGATCTGGGTGTAAATACTCCCATAGGAAACCACTGTGTTTGAAATTTTTTCTTTGCACAGAATACCCTTTTGAATACTAGCAGGTAGTAGATACTCACCTTGGGCTGTGCTGCTCCACAGCGTCCTCCTGGGATGTCCGGGGCTGTGACAAACAACAAACAGGGAAACAAGTATTAGATAACCATGTAGTTGATCAGTATCCAAATAACCAATCCAAGTCACTACAAAGTCACTGGGGCAATTTCTGGTCAAATTACTGAATGATTAGCAAAACAGTTTTGATAGTAAGGTAGTAAGCTAGTAAACAAAAACATTCTGCTTTGCCTGCACATATTTAATTTGCAACAGAGCTATTCTGCATATCATATCAATGAAAGCAATGGCGACTTGAATTTTAGATTACCGCAATGCCTTTCACAGCCATCTCCATGTAGAGTTATACATGTGTGTTCAAAATTGAAAACATTACGCTAACTTTAAATGTTCAGATGTCACAGCCATGACATGACATGTTCATGCTTGACAGCTTGAGGGTAAATGAAGAATTCATACTCTTGCTTCAATATATTGAATTCTTCGTTGGGAAATTCAATGTAGTTTACTCTTTCTGGTCTTCTTACAAAATTCATCTAATGGACTACCAATTAAGCCATGTGTTTTACAATACCACAGCACCAGCTTTGGGACATTGTTCCAACATTGAAGGACTAGTATACAAGTTTGCACATCACTCGAACAAGTCTGTCAAAATGTGCATGTACTATTCAGTGGGGCATTCTTTGCATACCATATCAATGACAAAGGTGTAAACATTGGGTTGAATGCTGTGTAACCCCACTACAAACATTTCACAGCTTTACCACTTCAACAGTTCCACAAATAATACAACAGCCACCCCAAATATCATTTTCCAAATGTACATGTAGATGTCTGTATTCTCTTTTGTATATTCAGAACGTTGACAGAAATGCCCAAGAACTGACAAGCATGATGTTTCCAGATGTCAGTGTGTGCATTTTTAAATACAGACAGGAATTTGTAACTTTATACCCCAACATTATTTTGTTTGTACCTTTAGTGACGACTGATGGATATGAGACAAACCACCTCAGGCAATAGTTCTTTTGTCCTTGAGGTCTCCCAAAATAGGACTTGCCATCAACAGAATAAACCTAAGACACATTTTATTCACTGTATAACAGCTACAAACCCATTCTCTATGGTATAACTGAGACGAAAGCAAACAACTCTGAAGGGAACTAAATTAATTATGACAGCAGAACAAGGAACTTTAGGAAAAATTACAATATGTTCTATTATGTTTGTGTTGTTCTGTGTTGTTTGGAATTTCCCATTGGCCGACTTTAGCAGCTGATTATCAAAATAAACATATAAAAAATTCTGGTACATGTACATTTCCAGTCTCAAAGGTCCTGTCAAAATCAAGCGACAGCAGCAGCATGGTTTACATATACATGTACATGATAAACCATCCCACCTTAAGGTACAATTAATTTACTTGATTTTATGAACTTGGAAGCTTGTGGGGGGGGAATTAACCCCATTCACATAAATGCCAAGGTTGTAGAAACATGTACATGTACATGTATATCAATTAATTGCCATGGTAACTCACATACAATTTTGCACCTATTCTTGTCCAATTTACCAACTGCAAGCACATGTCCTAATTTAATTTCACATTAACCATTCAGGATTTCCTCCAGCGGCACAGTTAAGTAAACATCTGACACAGTTTCCTTTGGGATAAATGGAAGGAAATACATGCAAGCAGGCACATTCCACTGTTTCAATTCTTGTTTCAATCACTGTATTTTTACATTTATTTGAGTTTCATATAAATAGGGTTGTCATGTTTAACTGTAGAGAAAAATCAGTCGGGGTAGAGGTTTGTCATCTTTTCCTAATAACAGCTATTGCACAAGGAAGCTTGAAGAATCACTGCAATGGAACAGTCAAATTCAGTCTCTTAATATTAAGGGATCCTTGAGAGTGATTAATGGCACTTGATCAGTTTCATTGCACTTTAACCAACTCATTAAAGCAAGGAGGAAGGAAAAATATGACGTTACTAATTAAAAACAGCCTATCATAACCACTCAACACAGACAGTGCATGTTGGCCCACATGTACATTAATGTTGCCAGGAGAACCTCTGGACACTGAACTTTTGTACAATTAGCCAGCAATATAAATCAAGGATATCATCAACACACAATTACACAAGGCTTTTTAGGGTAAGCATAAACAACAGACCCTTTTTAACTTACCCCCAGACCAAAATAAAACTACTGATCAATGCTAGGATTCTGGTTATCACAAACTATCTAATCTGGCTCGACAATAGCTCGTTCATTTTTTCTTTCAGAAGAAATGTCAAATTTGTAAGATTTTTTTAAATAAAAGGTAATATTTTCTGCCAAAGACCATAACTGAGAGCAATTTAAAATAAACTATTCTGAAACAATATCGAATAATATTCTTTACTATCAGTTTTATCATTTCAAGTTTGACATTTCACAAACCAATTCAACCTTCAATACACATAAAACTACAAGCAAAACCAACTGAAATGTATAATAAACGGCACTTGTTTTGGCATTTGTCCCTAAATAACTAATGAGCCTTTTTCAATAGTTAAAAGGCAAGTTGTTCGATCATGTCTGCAGGTTTTCAGAGTTCAAACACCTCAGTGTGAGAAGAACTGATCTCCAGTCATCCAACCCTACCTTTAATATAACGATCAGGGGGGAGAAGCCAATGAGGCATTTCAATTCCTCATACTGTCATTCATTCCACTTGGTGCAGTGCTTCACACGCCCTTGTGACATTAAAGGGCCACTCTGTTCCACAAATCAAGCTCTTGGCGTTGGTTTATTCATGCATCTATTTATCCCACTGTCCAGAACGCACCCACCATTCACGGGCCCAATGCTGTTTATCAACTGTGTCTAGTTGAAGATACACAAGTCCATGGGTGCCCTCAGTGTGTTAAGGATTTAATGAATTCTGGTATATATCCAACCATGAGTGACGACCAACAGCTTAACCAGTCAAATGACATGTATAACGAGGCAGTTCACAGGTAAATACCATTCACAGGTACAACACTAAAGGGGTAGTGGAGCCAATCATCAATCAATCCTTCTCAGGTGCACACTTGCTACTAGACAAAGATCACTGAAGTACAGAAAGACAGTAGTTTGGAGAAGGCTAAATGAACACGTACAAGCCATCTCAAATGTTATTAAGTTCATATAGTAACTTGCCCATTATCTAGAAGAGAATTTGTACAAGTGTCATAAATTCACACTACCAAGTAACATAGAATAAATGTAAGTGTACACTTGCTTGTGGTATTATATTTTATATTAAACTTTTTAAATTTCATAAATATTTTTACAATATTTTACTGGGGTTTCACTTATGTAACCTGTCAACTCTTCGTGTATATGTGTTTTCAACCTTTAATATTCTTTTCCTTATTAATGAAGATCATTCCCCAGGTGACATGGTTACCATAAAATTATCATAGTTCCAAGAAAATATTCACTCTGTAATACCTCTACATTTACATTTTTCTCATGGTTTATACAGTTTTGGACCGATCAGTAAGTGAAAGATAATGCAGTATATCAAAGCTCAAGAAACACAAAAAGCAGTGATAATGTTAAAAACAAGATGGCTCCTTAAATTCAGAGTTTGGGGGTGAATTTGTATGTGTGACCAAAACTCACTCAGAAAATTAATATTTCGTGAAAGTGATGGATCAAGGTCAGATATGTCGGATTTTCGAAGTGAGAGGCACTAGTTGTCTGCCTTGTTATTGTATAATATTTGGACTAGTGTCAGTGAAATCTGTTGAATTTGTAACAATTAGTTGCTTCTGTCAGCATGAGTGGTTATGAATGACGTAAAGTGTACACATCTAACCAGTCCAAGGAACCTGCGATGATTTCCTTATGAACGTCCTCAAATTGGGCCGGATGCCAAGTCACGCACCAAACAGAAACCAAGGAGAAATTTCCACTTGCCAAGCTCTCCCCTCCTCCCAGTTCTTCTCACTATTGCTGCTTTGGGGCATGAGTACCGGTTAAGATGTCACTCGCTTCTTTGTTTCTATTTGCTTGCTGGCCTGTCTTAATGACCTCGGCAACTCGGGAGTGAATGTCAGATGGTGTCATTTTCATCTAAACCTGTCACATGGCACTGATGGCAGGTGGCCTAGCATGGAGATGCAAACACAGTCCAAATAGAAGTCACAGAGAAAAAACATTTACAGGTGGCTTTCTCACACGAAGGATAAGTACAGTGTACACTATACTGAATATGCAATACAAAGGCATTATTTCCCATACATTTCCAATGTACATGTACTGTACATATACAGGTATGATATGAGATACAGGAGAATGAAACGCTCTCTGACCATACAAGCACAGCTTACTGCTGAAGTCAAAGGTTTTCCAATTGTTAGTTTTCGATGGATAAATCCCAAACTATGCACCAAAGCGTAAATGTTCTCAATTTTGAGCACGTTTTCAAATAGTTATGGGCCTCGAGCTAGACTAAGAGAGGGTGCTATTTCCTCAGCAACGGAGGCTCCTCTGGTACTAGCTGTGCATCACTGGTTCACCAACGACTAGGAAATGCAAGTGTTGCAGTCGCATCACTACCAACAAAATGAATACTCCTGACCAATATGGCTCTTTTCAACCGATGAGGGGGTGCTCCTGTTCGAGGCAGATTCTTTAATTAAACTCAAAAGCATTCATGAAAACAAGCTGGAAAATAATCGCCTGAACAAAATACATGAATCCAAAATTCCAAGTAGCAGTGTGAGGACATATAAACACTGATAGTGCTGACCGATGACAATAAAATTGTGACAATACGATGTTCAAAAAGAAAAATTGAAATTGCCCACATTTTAGAAATATCAAAATATTATGACATTGCCTATATCGATTTTATGTCGGCAATTTTAACCTCACTAATGTCCATCAACTCAGCAGAGCTAACCTCATTTTGCTGTAACGTGTACATAAAGTGTCTCAACCTGAAGCTAAATTCTCTTGAGGATTCCAAAAACATATGCAATGCAGGGCACGAAGTGAAAAACAATTTTGCAGGTGCCATTGTCTTATGTCCATGGTCCAGCTTTTGATAACGACTGCATGGAACAAGCGATTTGCCATAACTGAACTCACGCTAGCCATGTGTGAGGACATGTCTACGTACATGTAGTACATGTACATGTACATGTGCTTTCAAGCGTACATGTCCATTCTGTGTCTTCTGGTAATATATGCACACAACATTTGCGGTTATTTGCATGTGGGACAGAAAGATAAACAATGCATAAATTTATTTCACTGTCATAGTAATACATTATAACATCGCCAATTAAAAATTCAAGCTTTAATTACAAGATTTGCATATGTACCTTACGGATGAATTAAGAACTGGGAAAAAAAAAACACATCTATTTTGTGCGATGATACGTGTACTTTTGATGTTTGATATTTAGAAAATCCCAACCCGTTTGCAGGAAATGTAATGTTAATGGACAATTTCCACGCAGTTTGCAGTGTGGATGCCACGGGCATTAAATGGTAATGATGGCAGATTTTCGAGGAAATGATTTGCAGACAATTTTATCAGATGAAGCAAGAATCAAAACAAAGTGTCAGCTATTTTCCAAGCCATATCGTTAATGCATTTATGTTTACAGTATTTGAGAGTTATTGAATCATGCACAATGTAAACAACTTTATTAAAATATCGGCAATATCACAGGGCAAAAATAGACTACCCCCCCCAAAATTTTTTTAATCAATATTGTCAGTACTATAAGTATTTACATTTTTTCCCCAAACAATTTTACAAACCAAGAGCAGGGATACTCATACGTGTACTGTACATGACAGAGACAGCCAAAGAAGTCATGTCGGGGGAAGATACTGTGAGAGTGTGTCGGCATCAACGGGGTAAAGCAAACCGAAATTGACAACACTCTCATAATGATTCACTCATCAATGAGTGCCACTGCATCCCCGCTTCTCAACACCAAACAATACCCAAAAAAACCCAGCAACAACAGAGGCGTAGAAGACCCATCCGCGACCGTCAAATGAACATGGCAAACACTGCTGATAACCAAGTCACACAAGCTCCCATTCTCCGGTCATGGTGGAGGGGGAGCGGGCGTCGGAGGTGGGTAAAATTCAGAGAGGAGACAGCTTTTTATGGATAGCTTAAGTAGCTGAAATGGATCATTTCAATTTACTGGATGGATTCATCACACGGCTCTGGGCCAAAATTTCTCCCGCCAGTTTGTTGAATAATGCTCCCAAATGATGTTATCAGGATGCTCAGTCTCATAATCTGTGACACAATCTGTCAGGATTGTTAAAAGCCTTAGACTTGGAAAAAAACACCACAGACTGTTATGAAGTCTGATATCTTGTTTTCTACAAAACAGGATCTTTTTTCTTTCTTTCTTCCTTTTTTTTTTAGACAAAGGGGTGGGATTACTACGGATGATGCACCAACATGTCTCTGTGGATCTCACCACTCACACTTTCATGGCATCATTTATGACTGTTTGACCTGAGAAACGTTTTGAAAGGGAAGGCAGGAGGGGTCATGGAAAAGAGGTAAGGGATTACAAAAAGATAGCTATATGTACTTTGACATGAATTAAAGAAACTCACCTCTTCCAAGTCACTCTCGTCTTCTGATATGCGCAAATCGTCAGCCAACCTATGAAAAAAACAAAATAAAAATTTTATCAAGCACTTTATTAACCAGTGATTGACATTTAAAATTGCACAAGATAGAAGCAAAGCACTGCATAATTTAGTAGCTTGGGTATTTTGAGAGCTAAATTGAAGCTGATGCTTGTATGCTTGTTGTAACGACTTCATGAAATCTAACAAGAAATTAACAATGTAGTGAATTGTGTATGCCTCCAATCCTTGAAGAGCTTTAGATACACCTGCTGGGGAAAATGTTTGCAAGATATTTTGTAAATACTAAATCAACAATTTCAAGGCCACATTTAATTTCAAGCCAACACCTTCCAGAGCAAGAGGTGATACTCCTGATTACTTCCTATTTTAACAACTTTGTAATCCAGGCTAGCTACTGCCCCAGGTCACACCTTGGGGCCAATCTCATGGGCACCTGCTGAGTACCAACAATATCTTAGCAGAAACCGGTTACCATCCAACATTGTGTGTAAATGTGTATACTGCCTCTGACTACTTCCCTGCTGATTACTGCTGACGACATAAATTTGGTAAGAGCCTTTTCTACTTGGTAATTCCATGAAATTAGGCTCTAGATGGCGACCAGAGGTGTTTATTCCGCCAACGCTAGAAGATGAGCACAGCTGCCTTGCCCACTCAGTCAACCAACCCTTGGGCAGAAGCCACATTTCTGCTTCATTGGAAACCATCCGGGCAAGGATGGGAAAAGACAAGTAATAGACAAAAGCACAACAAATCGCCGTGCCCACACAAATGCACTCACACATGAGAGCCCACCCCAACCACACAGAATGAGGTGACATTGTGGATGTCGCGGCCATGGGGAGTCTAGGCAGAGTACTGAACCAGTGGTGTCATTAAAGAAGCAAACAGTGATATTTGTCAGGATCAATACTCCCCAGTGCATCTGTAGACGTCACTCACGATCAGTCCCTGGTCCCTGAGGAGAATAACCAATTCTCTAAACTGTTGCTGTCACAGATATATGAAATCAAAACACATGGTGGAGATGGATCCATCTTGGAAACCCCTCAAAGCTCAAAGCACAAGTATGATTCACAAGCCGAAGCGACAAAAATTAGGAGGAAATGGCCACTGAAAAAAAAAAACTTAAACTTCTTTTTTTTTGGGGGGGGGAAGGAGAGTTCTTGCATAAATCCAATTACAATAACCTTCTAATAGCACTTTGAATTTTGTGTCCAAACAAGCACATATATGACTTAACCTCTCTGCATGAAAAATAAAGCGAGGGCTCAGAAGAGCAATCTAAAAGATAGTTATTATGGTCAAGGGAAGCGTCAAACATGTGTGAACATGTACATGTACAGTGTGTTTGTACTAGAACACACATTTCGTTCTGGAGGTTCTGTGGGCATTCTGTCGTGGAAAGGCTTACATGTGGCTATCAATATTCATCTGATAACAAAAGGACGTGAGTTGAATTAACAGACACAATTTGTATTTCAGTATAAAAAGTCCCAATCACTAATGCACTCCTTATTTTTCCCTCAAATTAATGAAAGGTTTGGGTCAGATTGGATCACTAAAAAAAAAAAGAAACCAACAAACAGCATTTTCCAGGTCAATTTTTTATAAACCAGTGCACTCACACTTCATCATTTGGTCATCTTTTTTCAACATATCAGCACGATTATACACTTTCACACAGTTGCTAATTATGCACTGAATTTCACACTTCTATGTGCACTATAGAGGGATTCCAGGCCTGCGCCGGCCCACAGCCTGAAATGAAGGCTTGGGAGGACTATAAAGCCTTGTTCAAGCCTAAAATTGGTCCAAAATTTCACATGAAATTCGAAATCAAGCTTTTCCACAAAAACTGGTATCCCTGACTTTTGGAGTGAACAAAAAAAAAAATGACTTCAAACACCACCATCAACAGAACAGGTCAACTGTTGCCGATGACACTGTGAATGAAGCATTCCCTTTGTTGACGGACTTAATCACCGGCCAACACTTGGTACTGGCCTGGCAGCATCAACACGGGTGTAAATAACCCAAATAATTGATTGTTCCCCTGCTGAAGATAATGCCCGCAACCGGTAAACACTGATTCAAGGGGAAGCCACACACCCACACAAACAGGAGTTCAGAAGCCCTAATGCGATCATTGTAACAGTATCACGGTATTAATGCAGGACAGGAGATGTGACTGCAATGATGAATGCCTTCTCTCCACCTATTCATGGAGCATGTGCTCAGAGGAAATGGCCAATTATGAAGCACAGATGCAACACACAGGTCTGATAACATAAGGTAACATAACTTAAGTCAAACGCTGATCTTCAAAACACTGCCACTTAGCCACAGTTCCTGTCACTGAATTTGTAAGTCAGCACACCATTCATTTCTACACTTGACTATTTCAATTTAACTGTAAGTACTGCATCAATGTAAAAGAGAAACTTCAAAAATTAATGGGGGATATTGGGGATAGAAGACAAATTCAAGAAACGTTCAGCAGCGGGGTCCATAAAAAACAAAAGCAAAAAACTAGGGCTTTCCAGGACTTTTCATAGAATGAATAAAGGCATAAATGAGTGAACATTGGACTTGATCTGTTTAAACCACACGCAAAAAAAGAGAGAGGTCCCTGAATGATTATGAGCCAAAACTCCAATATTATGATGTTGAAAATCATGAAATGAAAAATTCCTGAAAAATGACACCCTGTTGTTCCAAATTGAAAAGGATCTCAAAAGCTAAACTTTTTTATCAAAAACAAACTGAAAATGCAGACTGTATCACCAATAATCCCAAATTCCCTCTATCCATCACTCTACACAGCCAACATGTTTTTCCATGTCTATAAATAGACTCTCAATCAAGCATCCCGGTGGGGGAGGGGAGGAAGGGGGGGTAGAATGAATTCTGAGCAAGATGCCAGGGAGTGCCAAGAGTATGTGAGCAGCAAGTGAAGTGGGTAACCACACTCGCAGGTGGGCCGAGCGGCCAGCAATGAAGCAAAGTAAGAAACGGCTGGCGTATGATGAGGGAGGATTACTTGGCCCCTTCAAAATGCCGAGCAGGAAAATAGATCACGAGATAGCACACAGATTGGAATTTAATCCAGGCTGAGTGGCAAGCGTCGAGCGTGTGGCGCGTACGTGCTCGTTTATGGGGGGGGGTTTAGAAACATCTGAAGAGTGGCTTACAGTACGTAATTTATGCTCAGTGCAATGAATGATGTAGGTGAACCACAGAGAAGAAGAGAAACAGCACAAAAGGGGTAAACTAAAAATGCCAACATGCACGAAACTTCAATTTCTTCAGTGATATTTATCAGTGGTGTTCATTTTTGAAAGGTTGAAACGCCTCGCAATACCTACAGGTTGCAACTTTTTTTGTCTGCTTACGTGTCTATTCGGAAAATAAACCCTGGGGACCCCACCAGGGACTGATCGCAAAATGGGCCAAACATGCCAGGCAATTCCAGATAAGATGGGACTATAATTTGGGGGTGCAATCAAAATGACAAAAACAAGGCTGTCGTTCGCCAGTGATGAATCCAGCATCGACTGATGTAAGAGTTTCCAGTACAGAAATTATTCAGCTCCCATTCAAGAATTCAATCAGAGTGTTGTGTGACTTCTGAGTGAAAAGATTTGATAAATTACCACTCTAGTGCATGCAAGGCCAGGGATTCCATTCTGTGTACAAATTGATCATGTTTCATCCCTCTGCTGCCTGCAATTTACTCGTTTTTATTCTCAAGTCCTTCCTTTCAACCTGCCTTTTAAATGGTCTCTGAAGTAGACTTTTTGAAAATACAAACCTCCTATGTGTACCAGTGTCTCAGTTTTAACCTCATTTTCAATTTTGGATTTACTAATGTAAAGGGTACTTTGCTGCCTTTGGGTTTTTTATGCTGACTATTTTCATATTTATGAGCACAACTGTGGTGTCACAATAATGTTCACACACTGAAGATGAAGAAAAGTTGTTTTTAGCACAATTCATCGCTGCAATACTTTTGTTTCAGTTCTTTACTTTCACTGACCCAGATGTATCTGCCCCGAGCTGAAGTGCACCCCCAATTGGGGAAAGAAAGACAGGTGGTTACAAGCGGGTTCTTGCCCTTGTTCTGCCTGTACGCAAAGACCTACACGTACATGCCGCAATAAATTAGTTACGTGTACTCAGCGCGCTCCGCGTCAAACGCGCGTATACTTGCGCCCCTCATGGCATGCCTGTACGGTGAGTATCAAAAAAAAACAAGCCCTCTTTTGTTCCGCTCGGAGCGGATAGTAGACCAGAGACAACATTTGCCTGGGCTGATGCTCAAGGCACAAAGCGTTATGAATTTTGATTAAAAATGAGAGCCATTCCGGCAGCAAATTCAAACAGGGATAGGTCAATATGCTCACTACCAGGTTAAACACCTTGTGATTGTTTGCATTTTGGCCGAGTGATTATTTAGTTTAAGCATGAGGGACACAGTGTGGCTGCAGTGAAACAACAATTGCTGGTCTCGTTACAGTGGCAAGTTGCCTGGTATTATGGGTAATGACCAATGTAACACGTACAAGGGAGATGAAAGGCTTTTCAGTGCTGTAAATGAAGCATGTTTGATAAGCTGGGGGGGGAGGTGATCGGGAAAGAGGCCTATTCAGGGTGAGTGTAGTGGCTGGGGGGTGTCTTGTTTGGGTTTCTAAACTCCTCCCTGGTGAATAGACTGCTTGATTGTCCCCTACGTTGTTCCTGACAGGGAGGGGATTATGTCGCAAACAGCAGATGATGCGATTTGTTACAACGCAATGACATTCCCTGATTTATAAGATCACGAACATGGACACACCTGCACTGGCTGGATGTGTCAAGGCAAAAAATCCTTCTTGGATTCCTTCCCAATCCAAGGTCATGCACAAAAGTGATATTAAGGCAGGAGAATTCACATTAAAGACCCAATAATGCCTTCAAGTACAATCCTTTGTCTCCTAATCTAGCAGTTATTAGAGGAGACGTAGAATG